TGATGGTCTTTGTGTCATCTTAGTGTCACCAACGCATCATTTTACGTCCATTATTATTCTCTCCATGCAACCTGACTCCTGTTTGAACCAGGTGGTTACAGCAACTTAATGCACGGAAGTGGAAGAGCTCGAGTATATCTTCTTTGCGATGTCTATCAAAAAGATAAAACGTGGGCGATGTGTCGTGGTAGTGTTTGCTTTGAAAGAATTAAATCACTGGTCTTCGCTACACGTAGTCTTTTATCCACGCTAACCCTTAAGAAGGTAGACGACATTGTCTTCACCGCCCGGTCTTTGTGTACCTTAGCTTGAGGCACGGTGATTTGCGTTGCGCTTTTGGGAATTAGCGTAGAAAGAAAAATCTTGGGATCATCAAAGATTTCGCTTCTTTCAGCGAAGCTTTGATGGCTGGCGAGCAATATCGTGCATTAAGGTGTTACCAGGGAATTAATAGGTGGTCTGTTTCGTTCGCTTTTGGTGTTAGTCGCTGAGAAGAAGAGTGAGGAGGGGGGAGGAGTTAAGAGTCTTAGATAGGAGTAACAAAATTAGAAAAGGGTCCTTGAAAATCTTTTTCACGTCTGCTGCGTCTTTTCGTTTCTTCTTGACATTTTGGTCAGACTGTCTTAAATGAAGACAAGATAGCCGTCTCAAGGATATGGTCACTTAAGTGCAATCGAATAGACGTAGGGGTCTGATACAAGTGGTCTCTTGTACAAAATTGCAGTATTTTTGACGCGCTAGCAAACAATGGGACATGATTATATACACTTATATCGTTCTTATATAGAAGGATATACGCATCGTGAGAAACAGATATGGGGACAAGGACTTAGCCGTTAGCGACATTACGAAACTAACCCGTGTCAGTCTCAGAATAAGATGCTTCTTTCATTCTGAAATCTTCTACAACACAGCCGTAGAAATGTCTATGTATTTTACATTGAAAGTAGGCTCAGAGCATATATCTAATACCATATAGCTCTTGTCATTTAGACAGTTCAGTTTGCCCCACTGTTACTATCTTCTTTTTCCAAAAGGCATAGAACCAGAAATGTGAATGCAGTGGAAAATAGAAGATACACTGTGATAATGCCAAAGCATTGTGAGTATGTACCTCCATTGCCGCGGAGTTAGTTACCACTATAAAAGCAGTCAATTTCACGACCGTGAAAATTAACGATTCATGGTCTTTGTGGTCAGTTTTACGAACGTGGAAGTCCGCAATCCACGGCCATTTGACATACCTGCTTTCCTACATGAAAGCGTGAACCTAAGACTGATAGCGTGAATCTAGCCACAACAACATAAGGGAAAACTTCAGCACCAAGGCCATGGAAGTCAACGTTCCACGGCCACAGCTTGACTCCACGACCGTGGAAGTCAACGATCCACGGTGTTTGGAAACATCTCGTGGTGGATCCACCGGGCCACTCCGGGCGGTAGCTACAGAGATAGGACTTGACAGTTGAGATGTGACGTGCATAGCTTATCCCTGGGAAGATGACGGGCCCAGGTGGTTAAATTATTGCTGATAACGCCGGAGTTCTAATTACTCCTGCGCGCGCCACTCCTCCGAACGGGCCCAACAGGTGAAACTCGGCGGAAATCTCATCACCAGAGGCACGGAGTGGAACAGGGGTTGGGCGGGCGCCTCACCCCTGCCGTACGAATTGGCTCGAAGCGCCGGGGATGGCCGAGAAACCATCAATCCCTTCTGGAGAAGGACAAACAGTGGACGCCCGGAGGCCGTCGCGGCGTATGGCCCGTTTTCTTGGCGACTCATTCGTTATACCGGGCCGCCTGAGAAACGCATGCCGCGCGGGCTCAAAAAAAGTACTTAACGGTAAACTTTACCTGAACTAAAGAGGCGTCACAAGAAAAGTACACAACTCACAATAAAGAACACACAAATTCAGCCCACATTTGAGATCTAAATCTAAGAAACTAGACTATAAACGGTTTCCAAGTTCAAAATTTTAAATTGTAACGGTTTCCACATTCAAAATTTGAATTGTAACGGTTTGCTAATTCAAAATTCGAACTGAGAGTGATTCTAGGGAACGAGGTTTGTGCGGACTCACCCGTACGTGGTGGGAACGAGTGAAGCGCAGCTCGCTCCTTGAGTCGAGTCGTCTTATTTCAAGATGTGTGACTTTTCCTTCGCACACCTGTCAAACGTATTAATGGCTCTATTAACTGAAAACAGATGGCTAGCCAGGGAAGGGGACAAGGAACGCAAAGTTCACATCCTAGCTATGTTCCACTGGCTATGCTGCTGAACATATTGGCAGGGGTTCGCTGGAGTGAGTTAGCCGGAGTTGAATAGCGTCGCCGTGCGTAACTAGCCTCCGACAAGCCCCCTAACGGTCTCTTCGGAATAATATCTCTCATTAACTCTGGGGGGAGAGCGCACTTAGAGGAAACTGTCCGGCTAGTTTTATTCCTACTCACGACATGAGGGCTAATTTTCGGCTCTGTATGGCAGAATAGACGGTTGGTAACGGCAAGATATTGCATAGTCTGGAAAGCAGGCCAACGTTTCGGCTCTAGGACCAACATGCTCCCAAAAAACTTTCCCTGGGCCGCCAGAGGAGAGCTTGTAGCTATAGTCTGGATTCCAGGCTATTCAATATTGTATGGGGAACTTGTGGTGATTGTGGTCGTTCTTCTAGAAGCGTGCGCCGTTGTCTTTTGAAACAAAAAGAACTTTAAAAGCCAGGGATATCCGGGCCATTTGTCGCTCTTAAGGACTAAGGCGAACCAAATCCTCGCAGGTTTAGGAAGCATTTCTGGAGGGAAAACTTCTTGAGTCGGATAGATCCATCTTAAAGATTGCGGGGTTCAAAGAGATAAGACGTCCGTGAAAAATCTGCCGGTTCGGAACGCTGAGAGAGTGAGGGCAGAACGCCGGGCCATTAATTTTGCGCTAAAATTTGTGCATAATTGGCTTTGATGCAACGGCGTTACGGTAAGGAAAGGTGTCGACTGCTTTCAACTGCGGAAGACCGATAAGGGGCAGTCTCAACCACGCAAAATTTCTCAAACCAAGCTCATTTCTCTAACCAACTCCTCAACGTTAAGCAATAACGAAATACATCATTTTATCTTCCTCACAAGACAATATAGAATTCACAAAGAAAATCAGCCGTCGCAAAATTTTAGTCCCTGTTGGATATCGTTTTGTTTGGTGGTGATAGATCTTTATTGTCGATCCCTGGGGTGAAAAAAAATAAGTGCGTGGGACGAGAGATGACGCTAGTGAGAGGCTGTCACACAAAAGCGCAGCAATCTACGCCGTGGTATAGCATAGCATGTTGATACGCACTCGGGGATGATCGGACCCATGCTTGTTAACGGCTTCATTAGCGAGCGGCTGCGGTGGGAAGTGGTCCTGTCGCCGCCGGCACACGTCCAAGAGCGCCCGGTGATAATTGGTAAGGATCGAATAACTTCCTACACAATTACAACCTCCCAAACAACGCGTTGAATGGACCCCGGGACTTTTTCCCCCCGAGGAAAGTTGGGTAATTAAATCTCGGCCGTCTCTCAATTTTCCGTGCGGATCGAAGTTGGGAGAGGTTACGGGGAAGTGTTAACCTCTCTGCTCCCGGTAGCGCAGTGTGGGCAACCTGCCTCTTGTCTAGTTAGCACGCGCCTCCAGGTACGGGTGGTCTTACCTTAACAGTCGTGACTACAGACTGTGGTAGAGCGGTCGGTCTCAACATGATGCAGGTAGTATGGTACGCGTATTACCCACCTGGAAGAAATTACACAGGTGAATTGGGTT